AGACAGAATGGATGCTAATGATTGAGTTCAGGTTGAACCACTTTCATCTTGCTCTAGACTCTGGTGGCTAAGTGTCACTCAACATTTTAAGTCACTTTTATATTCTTTTTTTTTTTTAATGAACATCACTTTTTAGTTAAATAGGACCAGTGTAAATAGGTCCATTTTATATGCTGCGATTGATTTAGACTTAGTGAATTAGTTATTCAGAGTTATAGAATACATTAACAAAACTAGAAGCTAGAGCTCTTGACGTCTGGTTTAAAGAATTGTGAAAATTTCGTGCAGTGCTAATCTAAGATAGGTGATTTTGAAAATGAACAAAAGTAGTTTTAGATCTTCAGTTTTTTGCTAAGTGCCCATTTTGTGCAGGGTATTTTCTCATTAGTTTTGATACTAAAGTAAATTAAAATAAATACAATTGGCTATTATATCTGTCTGCTTCCATTGCTATAACAAAATGTACAAGGCTGTGTATTTTATAGAGAAAAGGGATTTATTGAGCTCATGGTTTTAGAATCTAAAAGCCCAAGCTTTCAGTAGCCCAATCTGCTTGACCTCTGCTCAGGGTTCCCTTGACAGTGTTACATTATGGTAGTGGGCATCATGCCAGGAGCTTATGCAGGAAGGGATCTAACCATCAGATAGGAGACTAAAAATTCCAACCAATAACAACTGCTTTTCAAGGCTTCTGTGAGGGAAATACTACCTTAAATCCTCTGCAGACAGTTCCCTCGCTGGCTTCCATAGGGCTCTCTCCCACCCCTTTTAGAATAATCCTATGATATTGAGAACTTGAGACATGAGCAATTCATGTGCCTCACTGGTACCCCTTCTTCTCTCTCCAGTTCCACTTGTATCCCGCCATCGTGATCTCTTCTTTGTTATGTGTATGTACATATGTGTATGCACACACATATACGCGTGCATTTATGTATCGTACTGAGTCTGTTTAGCTTTGCTTGCATCATGTTCCTATGTCCATGGCTGACCACTGGGGATTGGACAACCTGTGTAGAAGCTTGTCCCTGGAGGAGACTGTTCCTGTCTCAACAAGTGTTGAGCACCTGTAGGTCTTTATCTACGGGTAAGGCCATGTGGGATTCCTCTGTCCTGTCGGGATGTCACCACCTGTAGGTCTTCATCTACGGGTAAGGCCGTGTGGGATTCCCCTGTCCTGTCGGGGTGTCAGTCGGTATTGATTATATGCTCTTTAAGCAACCATCTTATTGAGAGTCTGTGGTGGAACTTCCCTCTCATATATAGAAGACACTATCTCACAGCATACTGTTCTGGCTGTTAGACTCTTTCTTCCCCTCTTGGTGAGTCTCCCTGAGCCTTAGGTGTAGGGGGTGTGTGCTGCAGATGTATCTATTGAGGTCAGAGACCCCACAGTCACCAATTCTCTGCAGATTGATCCGTTGTGGATCTCTGTAATTTGCATTTATTGCAAAAAGAATCTTCTTTGATAAAGGGTAAGAGCTACATGTATTTGTAAATACTAAAGAATAAGTATTTAGAATACAGTTAGAAATTATATTATTTTGGGGAAAATGTAGTAGTAGGTTCTCTTCTTGGGTCTATGACATCTCTAGCCATGGATAATTGACTAGGTTTATAGTAGGGTGATTTCCCTCCTATTAAATGAGCTTTAAATCCAGTTAGACAGGTGTTGGTTACCCCTTTGGTAAAGGTGCCACTGTGGTCCTGTTGTCCATCTTCTACCAATCCAGCCATTGTGGTACTTCATAGGTGTCACCACTGAGTAGCACTATTGGGTGCTTTTCTTCCTTGGCAATTGCACCTTTGACTACTGGGAGAGCCAGCCCTCAGGGAGGAGGCTTCCAGGTCAATTGCAGTTTAATGTCTTCAAGTTCTCTTCTGAATTTATGTGGTGTCTTCAGCAATAGATTCTTACCTTCAAGTTCTGGGAGGCAGTCAAGGGAAACAATAGAATCCTATGTTTCTTGAGGTATCTTTTGGGGTCCCCTGACCAACAACTCAAAATTTCCATGCTTGGTACCAGGGCTTCTGTTAGATAGCCTTTGGCTCTTAGGAAAAACTTTTTTTACCCCATGTGGCATAACTTCATGTAAGTTACTTATGTGTGTATACACTGTCCATGTTAGGGTTACTATTGCTGTGATCAAACACTATGACTAAAAACAAATTGGAGAGGAAAAGATTTACTTGCCTTACACTTCCACATCGATATTCATCAAAGGAGGAAGTCAGGGCAGGAACTCAAGCAGGTCAGGAATCTAGAGTCAGGAGCTATCTCAGAGGCTATGGGAGTAGGGGAAGTTGCTGCTGTGGCTTGTTCTTGGTGGTCATAACCCGGTTGGTGATGGTGGAGGTCTTATCTATGATCAACTTTGAGGTACAAATATATAAGGATTCAAAATCTGATCTTATAGCTGATGGGCTATGTGCCCATGTGGGCTTTAGTTTCTTTCTCACAAATGGCACTCAATAGAAGGGAAATCAACCTAGTATAAACCTAGTCACTTGTCCATAGCTAGAGATGTCATAGACCCAAGAAGAGAACCTACTACTGCATTTTCCCCCAAATAATATAATTTCTAATAGTCCTTTTAAATAAACATAAAATCATGTTTCTCTATGATGTTTTCAGTCAACCTTGGTGTTCTTTATTTCTCTTTTTTCCCTTTTGCTTAGCATTTCCATCCCTCCACTGACTCCATATAAAGTCTCTGTTCTATTTTCCCATTTCCCTTTTTATATCTTTAGATATGAGTCTGTAACCTAGAGTAACCACAGAAAGCAGGGTAGTAGAACATGGGACCCCGCCTTTTAAAGGTCCTATCACCAAGTACCACCATTAGACTAGGGCTTTAATAAGTCAGTTCTTTGGAGGACAAACATATAGATCATAAAAACGTGAACCTGTATCGTGTAATGAGATACGAATAGAAGACGAGAATAGTTAAGCAAGAATGCATTCGTGTCCTGTGGCTAGAGTTCCTTTTAGAGCAATGCAATAGAGAACATCCTGTGTAGTGGGTAACTGAGGGAGAAGCTTGGGAGGAAATAACCCACAAAGCTCCTTTTTCCTCTATGGAAAAAGTAGTCTGGGTTTGAGAGGCAGTACTTACTTACTTAATAAGATAACCGGGTAGTCAGGTTGAACAGAAGCAAGGTTCAGAAATACAGTTAGGAGCTAATGCTAGATCATACAGTCACAGGAGGCCTTGGGAACAATCTAATACACACACCAGTTTTACAGTCAAGAAAACTGAAACCTAGGGTGTTTCTGAGTTCCTTACCCAAGATTAGTCACAGCTAGCTGGGGCCAGAACTAGGATTAATTCCTTTCACATGACTGGATATGAAAATATATTAATAACAGAATTGAGGAGGTGGCAGATTGTCAGAATACTTTGTATGTGCAGAGAATAATTTTTGCAGAGATGCGATTAATCATCTTTTAAAAGAAAGAACTCTGGTCTAGCTTTTGGGTTGTTAAGCAGAGAAATTAAGAAAGGAAACTGGAACAACCCAGGAAACTGTTTTAAGACTAGAATGATCTGTCTCATGGCACAAGGAAATGGCCTTCCTGGCAACTTCTGAGGCATTTTATTAATACTAATAAACATAGTAGCGATGATGTTTCTCTCTGGATGCAAGGCATCCTATCAGACGTCAGTGTCTAGCAGACGTGTAGTCTTGCAGCTGCGGATGTGGTATTACTGCCATTTGTGAGAAAGAAGCTGAAGCCCACATGGGCACGCAGCCCATCAGCTATAGGATCAGAATTTGAATCCTTATATATTTGTACCTCAAAGTTGATAATAGAGAAGACCTCTCCTTCTAAAGTTACGACTAGATTAAGAAAAAAACAAATAAAAGTTTAATAAAAACGTACAACCAAAACTAAAAAAAAAAAAATCAGTGACATTGAAATTACTGATATTAATGTAAAAGATAAAGGTTTTGATGAGAAGAAGTGTTGATCACAAGAAGAGTTTGTGGCTTCCTGTTGGAGAAATGCTGTAGGATCTTGCTTGTTCTAGCTTGGTCTGCTTGTCTTCCTGTTTGTGTGCTGTGTCACTTGGTAGTCCCGCCCCTTCCCCTCACCTAGCTTCTCCCAAAGGACCTTCAGCAGTCTGTGGTACCACTTGACCTTTACTTCACCTAATCAGATGTTTATTGCTAATCTCTCCGCTACTTTTATTTGCTCTGATAGACTGTCCCTGTAGGTTCTGAAATGACATGTTTTTGTGTATTAAATTGTAAGCTGTGTGATACTGGTTATTGAGATATCTAAACCACAGAATTCAAGAAGGTCACAGCATCCGCTAATCCTACCAAGTCTTTGTTTTTTCCAAGGAACACTATCCCAGGGCCATGTGAGCATGCAGAGTGAGAGTGGGGATCCCGGACAGCTCGATCCCCATCATTCAGTATTGACTCCATTCAAGACTGGCCAGTCTGCATCCACATTTCTGCCATAGCCCTTGGCTGTTCCCCAACCAAACCATCTGTCACAGTGTGAGGTTTTCAGAACACAAACATTTAAAACTCAGCTTAGGAATTGCCTCTTTCTAGACACCTTCCCTATTGCTTCCCCTTGTCTTCCACTTCTCCACTCCCTCTTCCTGTTAGTGTTCCTTCCTGTCCTTCAGTATAACTTCAGGACTCCGTGCACATCCTTTGTGTTAGCACTTAGTACTCCGAGCGGCAGTCCTCCTTTTTTCTGGTGTACCAATGAGACCCCCGACTTCTGGGCATCTGGCCTCATACATGTCTCATCGACAGGTGTCTGAATGAAGAGGTTACAATGCTCTGGCTGTGCTACTCAGTCAGCTGTGTCTTCGGAAGCCAGGGGTCTGAGGCAGGAAAGGGAACTTGCTTGTGTCAAACTTGTGTGAGTTGTCCAATCAGTGTGGGGACCTTGTGAGCATGTGAATAAAGTCATGTTGGAAGCAAGCTTCCCCTGAAGTATTAAAAGATACTTTGCTTTGTTCCTCCTTGGTCAGGTGCTGTGATTGTGTCCACACCTCAGGACATTGCACTGATGGATGCACGAAAGGGTGCGGAGATGTTCCGGAAAGTCAATGTGCCGGTAAGCATTTACACCCTCCCTGGTAATAGCACGAGACCCATCTAGCCTAAGACAAGTCATTAACAAAGCATCATCCATGTTTTAGTTTAACCTTCTGTTGAACATTTCATGAAACTTTAGTTGATTTTTCCAGTTACCGTAAAACATACTTAAGGTTACAAATATGTCCAAATCATGCTAATCAAGAGGAATTTTGAACCAGAGTTCAGGGATTTCAAGGTTTCTGCAAAACTATGCTCTCCAGTGCTGATGGAATCACATGAGCATCTCAGGAAATGCTTTCGAGATAGACTACATTAAACCACCTATAGGCAAGGAGGTGAAAAGCTAACTTCTTTTCCTTGTGGCTCACTACATTTTAAGGCTTGATAGCTCAGGTTCTTCTAGGGAGTATTTTATGCTATTCTGTACATGAAAAACTAATGTAAGAATGTAATAAAAATAGACATAGAATAATTAAGATCAGATGGAGCCCAGAGTAAAGTCAGCAAACAAATTGCATGCCATTAAGGAACTTAAATATGCTATGAATTTTCTAGCAGCCAAAGGAAAGAAGCGTGATACCAATTAAGGCCCTGTCCATTTGTGTATGGTTAAAACAAGCTGCTTGCTCGAGAGAAGCCCTGCTGAGACCAGTCACATACTTTCACTAGATTCCTGTAAGGAAGGAACTATATTAAATACACTCCCTTCTTCTTTACTCTAAGGGAAAGGTTCCTCCTTCTAGTGGCCTCCACAAAAGCCAAGGAATAGTACCAGAGAGCAGTCAGAACACCACCCCTGCAGTGCTTCTGTCCCTGCAGCTTGCCATGGACATCTTCAGATCTAAGAGAAACAGGGCTTTTAAAACTCTGGCTCAAGCTAGCAAGATGGCTCAGTGGTAAGCGCTTGCTGTATGTGCCTGACAAGCCCATGCAATGGTGAAAGGAGAGCCGATGCCCACATCTGACCTCTCACCTCCACATGTGCATCATGCAGTGCGCAGCCGTGCTCACATGCGCGTGCACCGCCACAATAAAGAACAAGTTTTAAAGTCTTAGACCCATGGATTAGCAGCAGGGTTCTCAATTCTCTCTCCTGCCTTCCTTCCACCACAAACTGGATGATAATTTTGTTTGTTTGGTTATGGGAAGAACTTATAACTTTCCTCAAATTCTTCAAAGAGACCATGACACAGGATAAAGTTCAGGGATGCTTTCTTAAGTGTTTGTCTCCGAGAGGCGCCTTGAAAGATGTAAACGAGTGTATATAATAGAGTCAAGGTGGCCTTACCCCGGAGTCTCTCTTCCCATGCCAGCCGGAGTGGAGCTGTGGACACTGGCAAGACAAACAGGCACTAGTGAGACGGAGCCTAGTGAGGGACACGCCTGTCTGCTTTCTTCCCAGGGAACTGTGGCTGTGTTCACCGATGGGCCTGAATGTGTGATTAGTGGGTTTAGAGCAGGCGTTCTAGGCTCCGAAACTTAGCTTGGAAAAACATGAAAGCAATGCTAATCACATGACTACTACTGACAGAAAACCTTCTCTATTGCATGTGCTTTGAGTAATGTGACTTGTATTATGTCCTCCAGGATAAACTAGATGCAAGCACTGGCTGTGGAGATCACTGACTAGTATGTCCTCTTACCTGAGATTAAAATGTTAAGTGGCAAAGAGAGAGGCAGCCTTCTACCATTGATGGCACTGAGTTAACAAGTAACCCTTCCTGGAAAAAGTTAGTATCAGGACCACTGGTTTGTTAGTAGCACTGCAAGGTCTGGGTACTAGCCCTCTGGCTGCAGGGATGTGAATGCTGAGCTTTGCCTATGCTGAGGGGAAGGCAGAGGTACGTCTACTGCACTCAACATCAGCAATGAATGAAGGAAAGTGACTTACAGAGGGAGTCAGATTTTGTCTTCCATTTCACCTCAGAAGTGATCCATTTTATACTACCAGATCATTTTAACTCAGCTGTCATTTGAGGTCTCATGGCTATGGGCCATACCCTTCATGGACTCTGTTTTCTCAAAGTCTAGTGGCCACAGTTATCACATTCAGTGTGTATGCTTTTAGTTCAGGTGTTTCTTTTTTTGGACATTCTTGATACTTCCTGACATATAAATAATAAAGAAAACAGCCTCATACTGATGTGTTGGATTTTTTTTTCTGGTCTTCAAGACAGAGAGTAGGTCATATAATTCTAACAGAACATCACAGAGGAAGAGAAGCCAGTCACTGAGTCCAGCTGGGCTATCGCTGGCTAGGTGCCACATAAGGATAAAAGCTGAGGATATTAACAAGGATATGCCACAAGGAAGTGAGGGGTGGTGGCTGCACGGGCTCGTAGGACTGCATCCAGGATGGGTGGAAAGAGGAAACAGCTGTTTGGGATCACACAAGTAATTTTAAGTTTGTAGACTTAGAACAGTCCTGTGTCTTGACAGGGCCAGGATGTGATCATGGCTGTGTTGGGACTAAATGGCGTAGAAATGAAAGTCACCAGAGCTGTGTATTCTGAGGCTGTTTCTAAGATGGGATTAATCATCCCCTGCTCTGGCATTTTAGACATTTGCCTGCTGTATCTCTGTGAGAGCGCTCTTTTTATTCCCTGATTTTAATCATTTGCCCTCTATACTGCGAAATCAGTTTAAAAACAGGTGGACTGTCTTACTCATCTCTTAAACCCAGAGGAAGCACGCGTGTGTGTAGCAAGGCTCACGAGTGAGCAAGAACTTCAGTGCTGAGCTCTGTATGCAGTCTAATAACCATGGTGCTGCTCTGTAGCAAAGCGGGTCTCAGTTATCAGTGAGACGTGAATGTGGTGACTTCTGAGAGCCTTCTGGCTCTTAAAAGCTCCAGAGTCTAAGGAACGGCAAAGTGTTCAGACTTAGGAAGTGTTCCCTAATGCAGAGGCGACGCTGCGCACCTTATCCCACTTCATTCCCGTTCCCCTGGTTTTCAGTCTTCTTCTGTTTTTTCCCCTTTTGAAGTGCATTAGTTACCATGGAAACAGTGATGTCATTGGAATTCATTGGTATGGACAGAGTTTAGTGATGTCTGCAAGAACGTTTTGAAGTTAATTTAAATGATTTCTTAACTCAATGCATAGCTTGGGAAAGGAGGAAAGAGATGAGGGATTAAATTCTGGCCTCTGCCTGAAATGATAAAAAACTGAAAAATCCTTAATTATAGCAGGATTTGTATGTAGACTGTTCTTTTCAAAAACATGAGAATGTTCAGCCTTGCCCACTTTTAGTAGTGAGTCATTTATGGTGGGATCCTTCTGACCCACTTTTGTCACCTCCTTTCTGAGAGCGCTGTGTACCTTGCTGCTGTCTCACTGCCTGAGTGTTTGGTCTCACGGGGATTTTCTTTCCAGTCCTTTCTTTGGAAGCTCATCCAGCTCCGGAAGAATAGTGCACTGTATATTCACTCCCTTACTCCGCAGTCACTCATGTAACTTTATTTCAACAACAGTTGTTAACTGGTGTATTCCATAGTACATATGTGCTGATACTTAGTGTCCTTTGTAATGTAGTAGTACTGTGTTCCAGTTCACTTTCTGTTGCTGTGATAAACACCATGACTAACAGCATCCTGGGAGCAAATGGTTTATTTCATCCTAAGAGTCACAGTCCATCACTGAGGGAGACCAAGACAGGAATTCACAGCAGAAACCATGGAAGAATGGTGCCTACTAGCTTGCTTTTCTTGCCTTGCTCACCTGCCTTTCCTATGCAGCCCAGGCCCACCTGCCCAACAATGACTTGGCTCACAGTGGGCAGGATGCCCCTGTGTCAACTGGTGATTAGTATTTACTCAGCCAAGCTTTCCTCTTCCCACTGACTCTAGCTTATATCACATTGGCAAAATCTACCCAGCACTATACCATGACTTGCTCGGACCCGCCAGCGATATCAATAATGACACAGAGACTTATTAATGTTTTTAGGCCTTAGCTGGGCAGTCTTCTTACTACTCTATCCCGACTAATCCTAGCGTATGTCCCACCACTTTCGCTGGGCTTCAGTGAGCAAGAGATGGGCCATGGTGGTAGTTAATTTTGACTGCCAACTTGACTCAATTGAGTGACGTCTGGGAGATTCATAAAGCACACATCTGAGTATGTCGAAAGGTGTTTCCAGAAAGAATTATTGCCACTTTAATTTTGTCAAATCCTACTCTTAATGACGAATCTTAAATGTTTTAACCTTCCTTGTAACCCACCACCCACCAGAGGTAGTGAAAAAGAAAGGATATGGGAGGGGTGGCGGGGGGCATTGGACCAGCCATCTGCCCAATGTCCCTATCTCTGCCTGTCAGTTCCACCTTCCACTTCCTGCCCAGCTATTTGCCACCAGATCTCTATTAAAGCCAATCAGATACAATTATAAATTGCCTTCAGCAGGTGAGGAAGGAACAGATATTTACAAAATATGAGAGTGGTGATGAGCCATTAGTTCTGCCAGTACAGAATTAACAACTGAATATACAGAGACACACCTTCATACAGTGAGCCCAGCACATGACTATTTGCTTCTATGAAAACCCCAGAAAGAAAAGCAGACCTGTTTTCTCTGACTACTTTTTGATTTGTTGATTAACTTTGTGATGTTGAAGGGGCCCTAAGTTCTGAGAATAAGAAAACTTTCTTCTTTGGGCCAGTGGGGCTGGTGTAATGGGAAGGCCTTTGTCTTATTTGCTTCTTTTCACTGTTCTGTTAATTTGGACATGGAGAACTATTGCCTGATTACGGTCATTTTCTGTCCAGGTAACCCATGTTCATGTTTCAGATTTAAGCTCAGGAGTTACTTGCCCTAGGGAGGTTTTTTTTCCCCCTTTCCCAACATGTCATGTAAAGTTAATGATACTTCCTGTGAACTCTTTGTACACTTGTCCAGTTCACCTCTCACCCCACTACAGGTTTATCTTCAGTCTTCACACAAGAGTCTGAGTCCCTAGGTGGCACGGGAACCTGCCCTGAACATCTCCCGGCTCAGCCTCCTGGCCCACAGGCATGC